AAAATGCGGGGATTATGAAATAATGCAAGCCCGCATATTTTGCGCGCGGAAATCTGCAATTTATGCGGCGAAAGTGCGGCGTATTTGAAAAAACGCGCCCCCCGCTTAAATATGCGGACTTTGGCTGATTTTGCGTGGAAACTTGCGATCGCATAATCGCGTTTTTCTGGAGGGACTGATTAAGAACACAAGACATGCATACATGTACAGTAGCAACATGTGAACGGGCGTTCACAAGATATATTATTTTACATTGATGTATTATTACATTTCGATGGTGCAATTCAGAGCCCGTCGGTTCGTTCTCCAGGCGCGGCAGTTGAGATGACGGTCACATTTCTAAGATCCTCCCGTCTTCCAAGATGTTTTGGCCAGTGTGGAAGAGTAGGCCTAAACAGCCTCTGGAGGGGCTCTCAAGAGCTCTTTAAAAGCCCCTGCTAGTAGAGGTCCTTACGCCAGCAGTGGAGCGAGCCAAACTTTGCAAGGCTTGCCACATTTAACTTCATAATGCATTTTATTTGACACTACAAATGAGTTAAGTATCCGTAATGTATGAGTTCAGTTGTCAGGAACTTTAGAAATACTATGTACTGTACGCAATTAATTTCAAACGCAGCCTTGGGAAGTACGTGACTAATTTCAAACCGCTGTAATGAACTGCGTGTTTAATGTGTGTATATATATCAAGGCCGTAATTATAATATATATTGAGGGGGGCATACCCCCCCCCAATATTCAAATATGCTCAAAATGCCCCCCTCCCAATATATTACTAGAAAATAGATTTATGTTTATATTATTGTGGTTATGGTTGTACTTTTTTAATCCCTAATCTCTGACATTACATGCAATTAAACAAGATAAAGTAAAAAAGAAAAAAAAAACAATGTAATACAATACACTATTAGACATTATTGTAAAAAATAAATTAAAAGTCCATCGTATGTGTTAGTGAAGAAGACATAAGCGAAAAAGGGGCATGCATTCCGCTATCGTGATGATAATAATCACACGGGAGTGCAAATGTCGGTGTTGCGAAGTTGTCGCGTTGGGAGCGATCTGCGCAGTGGATGCGCGCACTGCGCTATAGACCCGACGAGTGATATATCTGAACCGGTCCTGATCACTACCCACACCGCCTCCACAATTCAATTCTAATCAACCAGCAAGGGTGAAGTATGATCAAATACATTTCGATTTAAAGCTTTCGTGACTGCAGGGATTCATCTTCTTGGTTCTTTCGGTAAAGTCACGTAGAAGGGAAATAATAAAATAATAATAAAACATAATAAAATAACATCGTGCCCATCATGGAGGGTATGGTCAAATACCCTCCATGATCGGCACGATGTTAGGTCTTCATCTATTACTTGGATTGAGCGTTTGTAATTATTAACATTAATACAGCTATATGATAGGACTATATACCGCACATATTAATGATTGATGACGTTATTTCTAAATATACGTCAAACCCGCACCGTTTAAACCTGAAGACTATACGGTACAGTATCGAGAAAAATACAACTTATATTAAAATTAAACATTTTCGGACCGTCGATTTGAGATGGGCAAGAGGGTTTGCTTTGTGAATCCATCGTTCGCGTGCACGCTTGCAATTACAGGAGGAGGAGCACGTGGGACTTGACGACACGCGCAAGTTGGAGACATTCAAGAAAACTGTGGACTTGGGTAGGACGCGTCGTTAGAAGGGGGCGACGGAGTCCGGTGATGGAACGAGATGAAGTGCAGTGTAGGACCTTGGGGAGGCCGTGGGGAGGCCATCAGCGGTGAATAGACAACGGACGCGACTGATGAGGCTGAAACGGTTATCACATCCAGTATACGAAGAGTGAGAACCATTCTAGATTTGAAGCTTTCGTGACTGCAAGGATTCATATTCTTAGATTTTTTCGGTAAAGTCACGTAGGTAAAAAAAAGAAAATTTCAATTAATAAAAGTAAATAAAATAAAAATAAAATAAAGATCACGACGTTTCGGAGGCAACACAAGCCTCCGTCCTCAGGTGGAACCGTCACAGCACGATGGCTGTATACAGCAAGCGTGCTGTGACGGCTTGTGTTGCCTCTGAAACGTCGTGATCTTATTTTTTTTAATTTGACTTTTATTAATTTAATTTTTTTTTACCTACGTGACTTTACCGAAAAAACCTAAGAATATGAGTGAGAACCAATTGTAAATGTTGTGGATTTACTCTCCAACACACCGGTGTGCTATGCTAGTAACGAATTCGCATGCTATGTTTACGTGACAAACATTACTAATTTGGCTGTGTCGGGTGGTGGTGGGTTTAACAACACATCTATATCTTCTTGGTTCTTTCGGTAAAGTCACGTAGAAGGGAAGTAATAAAATAGAACATAATATGTTTTATTTAAATGTTTTATTTTTATTATTTTATTACTTCCCTTCAACGTGACTTTACCGAGAGAACCAAGAAGATGAATCCCTGCAGTCACGAAAGCTTTAAATCGAAATTTAACACATCTATATATTTACGCGATCTAACCCATTATGAAGTGAGACCCAACGTGAGAGCTTTGGTTGCCGAATGGAGCGAGCTGTTGCGGCGAATAATATTGTCGAACATCGCGCAAAGGTTTAGTGAACGAGTGTAGCAGCAACGGACAGTCACGGCAATGCAGTATAGAGTGCTGGCTATAGTGGAGAAATAACGTGTGGTCTGTATTCGGTCGGCGATTCAATCTGCTCGTGTGCAGGTAAGGTTCTAGATTTGAAGCTTTCGTGACTGCAAGGATTCATACTCTTAGTTCTTTCGGTAAAGTCACGTAGGTAAAAAATGAAATTAAAATTAATGAAAATAAAATAAAAATCACGACGTTTCGGAGGCAACACAAGTCTCCGTCATCAGGTGGGACCGTCACAGACAGATTTGCTGTGATTTTTATTTTATTTTTATTAATTTTAATTTCATTTTTTACCTACGTGACTTTACCGAAAGAACTAAGAGTATGCAGGTAAGGTGCCCGGTGGGAATCGTGGCATCGCTGGGATGAGTGGGGGATGGCGACGACTTGGGGAGGCGTTCATCATCCAGCAGTGGATTAATCATGGCTGCTGCTGATGATTTGATACGCGAGGCCTTACATTTATAAGCATAAGATGAAGATGCAAGTGGGAATTGAAACTCGGTGTGGGAAAAATCTTGTGAAGCATCGTGACGACGGCGTGGCGTGCATGCAGCCGCATTACACGCGACGAACACATTCGGACGGAACAGTATTCTCTAAATTTTTAATGTTATGAAAATTAATGTTTCTCAAGACTACAATATGGCCCCATTTGCGAACAACACGAATAAGAAGCCTATGTGCCTTGAGCATATACATTAGATACCAGCCCGCAGAGTTTTAACACGTTCTACACCATAGTTCAAACTTACCCACGCAACATTTAGACAAATATATTATTTTTATTTCTCCAAAATTACCATTACCAACCCTCCACGAACCTGTAACAAACGTTATGCCACTCAGTTTTTATTGCAATAGTAACGGGGACATCACCTGAGACGAGATTGCGTTGACAATGCATTCGGGGGGGGGAGCGGTGGCGCAGTGGTTAGCGTACTGCGCTATAAACCCAACGAGCTGAGTGTAGATTTACGCAACGGCGAGCGTCAGTGGCGAGTGAAAACTGAACTGGCTCTACACAACCACACCACTCCCCCCCCATCTTCACCAACACACTTCACCAACACACCGGCTAGCGCCATTGACTCTTGGGTGGGGGGGGGAAGCTTCATCCAGCAGTGGATTGGCAAAAGGGATGTAATTAATTTCATTATATAATCGTTACATCGCAGGACCCTAAGAAAGTTGCACTGGACGGCTTATGGGGAAGCTTCCAGTGGATTCATCATGGCCGATAACGCTAACAGTGTATTTAGCAACAACAACAACAACAAAAATGGGTTTGTTTAACACGTAGCAGGCTTTCGCGACCAATGTTATTCATAATGAACGTTTTTGGGTTTAGATCGCGTTATTTATAAATGTGTCGTAACCCTCCACCACCCGACACGGCCAATCAGTTCACTGTTTTAGCCCACCGGTGTGTTGGCTTCAACACACCGGTGGGCTAAAGCAGTGAACTATTTGTCTTTTGTCAACACACCGGTGGGCTAAAGCAGTGAGCTATTTGTCTTTTGTCAACGTGATACTTTTTTACTGATTGGCCGTGTCGGGTGGTGGAGGGTTACGACACATTTATAAATAACGCGATCTAAACCCAAAAACGTTGATTATGAAAAATGGGTTTAAAATTCACTTCTGAGAAACCTCTGCACATCGAGTCCGGGACTCGCTCGCCACGGCCGCATTGATTGCAGCGAGCGCGACAAATGAATTCTAACATTGATCTGGCGCAATACAGCTTTGTCCCCTCGTGATTCCGTCAATTTGCTGATAATTTATACGTTCAAGCTTCGATTAGAATTTGTTGTTAATACATGAAGGTGAATATAGCGACCGCTGGAAAACTGGAAAGGGTGTCAATTCATAGTCAAAATACTACAGGACCGTGCATTGAAAACCCCGATTTGATGCAAGTGAGTTTAGTTATCGATATTAATCGATGTATCGAACGCGTCCGTTACACTCCTATCAGGTTTGGAATGGCGACTCGTTATATACACAGTGCCGTATATCAATGGCGTAGCTATCGAGTGTGCAGGCGGTGCAACTGCACCGTGAACGCACGAGCTGGAGGGGTCCCAGTGTTGGGGAACGAAGAGGGGTGGGTATTGGATCGGGGGAGGGTGCTCAATTTTATTCGTTCCACAAGGACCCATGCCGACCATGCTACGCCACTTGATCCATTTACTTACATTGAGATTCAAAGACACACTTAAGAGACTAATATAGAAGACCCAGAGACTCGCTTAGAGAGATCCAACGCAACAGTTGAGCTATCCAGCGCAGTGGGGGGCACGGGGGGGGGGGGGGGGGGCACGGGCCGGTGGTGCCCAGGCACCGGGCTATTAAGAGGAGGAATACATTGGACAGGAGGGATGGATCCCATTTATTGCTTGAACCAGGCGGCCGTACCAACGCTGCTGCTACAGTCTACATAAACTGTCCTGCGTACGACGTGTCATCATGTCTTCTTCGCTGCCCCTTTCTGCTGCTGCTGCTGCTTCTTATTCTCCTCTTCCTCCTGCGCTCGCTTCTTCTCCTCCTTGATCTCCTTGTAGCGCCACTTGGGGATTTCCAGGAGGTGTTTGTCCTTGCTCTTGCGTCGCCGGTGCCGTTTAGTTCCGTCGCCACCGCGGTCCGCCGAAGCTCTCCGCCTGCCGGGCGGGGACGCCTTGATGAGCTTGACCCGGGGCGGCTCCCCCCCTGGACCCACGCTGTTGCGCCGCCACAAGTTCACGGGCAGCGAGCGCGTCCGTGCGCCGTACCTGACCCGGTAGCTCTCCGTCGCTCCTCCACCTCCTCCTCTCGCGCCGCTTGCGCCCGACTCGGGCAATGCCACCCCGACTCCACCGCTCACCGTGGAGCACATGCTGACCCGTCTCTCGGGCCGCCTGCGGCGAGGACTGTCCGAGCCGGCGATCACCAGGACGTCCGTCCTTCTTGGCGGAGCGCGGTGGTCGATCTTGCGCGCTGACGCTCCCCCGTTGCAGCTGTCGCTTGCCATGTCGAGCATCGTGGCCAGCTCGGGCACGGAGACGCCGCGCTTGCCCACGGCGGGAGGGCTGTCCGGGCACAGCGTGCTGCACGCCGTGCTCACGAACGGGCTGGCCAGGCTCGTGGAGACGCGCACCATGTGGTCGAGCACACCGCCGGCATCGGGGTCCCTGGGGAAGTTGATGGTGAGCGTGTCGCGCAGGCACTCGGACAGCTTCTGCATGCAGGTGCGGGGAGCCACTGCGCGGGCTACGAGAGCCGCCAGCGAGGTCCACTCCGGGCAGAAGGAGGCGCGCATCTGCTCAGGTACGGGTCGGCTCAGCAGGCGGCGGATGGCAGAGGCTGTCTCCCAGCGGCCCGTGTGCAGGGCCCACTCGGGCGGCGTGAGCCCTCGGTTGGGGTCGGTGGCCGTGATGTCGGCCCCTGTCACCCACGGTCCACGTATCCGCATTTCATGATTAGCACGGTTGGCTACGTACGGTGGGAAATAAGTTAAACGTGCGTACGTACACGATGCCCAGCGTCGACATTTGGCGAAACAAAGCGCAAGATAAGTGCTGATTTAATGAGCATACTGTGGCAAAGAAAAAACAAATATAGGGTAATGTTAAATGAAACATTAAGACGTTATATGATCACCTTAATGTATGTGTATTTATGCATCTTCTTGGTTCTTTCGGTAAAGTTACGTAGACGGGAAATAATCAAATAATAAAAATAAAACAATAAAATACTCAAAATTCTAGTGAGAATTTTATTTTATTATGTTTCATTTTTATTGATTTATTTTATTATTTCCCTTCTACGTGACTTTACCGAAAGAACCAAGAAGATGAATCCCTGCAATCACGAAAGCTTTAAATCGAAATGTATTTATGCATGTTGAACTTATTTCGTACTGTACGTTGCCAACCGTGGGAACATTTATCCAAGCGTATAAATGTTGTTCATTATCACGTGTATGGATATACCATGTGGAAATAATACAATAAATATATTTAAAACATCAAAACGTGCTTCCTCACATGTGATGGCTGCTCTTGTCACAGCACTCATTGTAGGTCTCTGTAGCAGTATGTACGGCCTCACGTGTCCGGTTAAAACTTTATCTGGAACTATTACAACGATTTCGATTTAAAGCTTTCGTGACTGCAGGGATTCATCTTCTTGGTTCTTTCGGTAAAGTCACGTAGAAGGGAAGTAATAATTTTTTTTATTATTTTATTACTTCCTTTCTATATTACAACGATGTTATGAAGAGTGTTGTTAAAGAGCAGAGGTGTGAGGGGAAAACAATAAGCTCCATTACCAGCCTCAGCCTAATTGATTTTACACCTAAATTCAAGTTGCAAGAATGCTAATTAAGTCATTGAGCTGTCTATACGTATTTGAATTCTTAGATTATAAATAATAAGATGAAGAGGCTATAATTAAATGTTTTTTTACGATTACATATTTGAGTATACTAAAGGTTATTAATATATTTCATATGCAGACACGGAAGGACGTCTCCATTAAGTAGCGCCTGAAATCATTGCTCGTTCATATATCATTTCCTATTTTCACTTATGCTGAAAATGTGCAGTGAACACCTACGGGCTATATGTCCATGGATGGTGATGACGATGATGATTTTCACTCACCCACTTTTTATCTATACCCTCCCACGTTGTTTTCGATTTAAAGCGCCGCAAAGCGATACAATTAGTCCGTGAGATAAGGGTCGCCGAATTATCGACGTTTTGCATTGGATGGCAATTGTGCGACCTTGCTTCCCATTGGCCAGATGCCTCGTGCGTTGCACTGACTCCACATGTCAGGGACTCATCTGTCGCGCGACACGGTCTTGGGATATTACGATGAAAAGGCGCTTTATACTCTTCATTATTAACATTTAATTTAAGTATAAGTTTCATTTTAAAAACATATGCGCGAAAACAATTCCACAGAGCACACCGAGGCAATACGTTTTGCAGTATCCGTTGCCATACCTGTCAACCCCTTATCAGTGCCTACCTTATTACAGACAATTTCGGTCCTTATTGGTCACCCCGTGCCCTTTTAAATCTCAACGTTAATCCTACAAAGTCCCATCACAAGGGAGAAACGCAAACAAATAAACAATACTTGTTTTTGGCCGTATTGAAACAGCTGTACGCCGTATGGTCATGAAAACTCAATTTCCCTGTACAGGAATACCGGTAAACCGTATGAGTTGACACGGTATGCGTATATTGTGGTACACGGGTGGTTAAGTGATTAGTCTTGCACGTTGCATGTATTTGATCGTCTTTCGTTGATGCAAAATTAAGTATAATTTTTGTTTACGTGTTTGATCCTGTTCTTTTTCTAAAATCAAATAATGTTGCACACATTTGCAACGATTGTGCACATTGTAGTTATACGTATATGTCATGCCGTGAAGACGTGCCAGCCAGCTCGGTCAATCCGTGGGCACCTGGGTTTGTCCCGTGACCTCCTGTCAGCGAGCCTTCGACACTTCACGTGACGGCCTCAAGGTGCACCTAGCCTGGCACAGGCACTGCGGTGACGTCACCGTCACTTAGTGGCGAACAGGGGCTGCTGCTGTCGTTGTCGTTGTCTGCATTGCGTTCAGGTGAAGGCGCCGGGAGGCGTGCGGCACCTGAGAGCATGAGGGCAGTGACGCAGTCGCTGCGGCCCTGCATGGCAGCCTTCATGAGGGCCGTGAAGCCGTGCACGTTCCTCACCTCCACGTCCACTCCCGGGTAGTAGTTAAGCAAGTAGTTTATGATGGTGATGTGCCCTTACACGCAGCATGCAAAGAACACGCGAGCGTCATCGCTACAGAGCAATTCATATTCTTTCGTTCTTTTCGTAAAGTCACGTAGAGTAAAAAATAATAACATTTTTTAAAAATAATTTTAAAAAAAATATTTCGAGGCTTACCCCCTTTTTCTCTTTGCCTGATGACGATCGCTTGTGTTGCGATCGAAACGTCGTGAGTTTTTGTGTTTTTTTTATATTTTTTATTTTAATTTGCATTTTTTCTTATTTTTATTTTCAATTTTTTTTTACATTTTTTTTTATTATTTTCTATTTACGTGACTTTGCTGAAAGAACCAAAGAATATGAATTCCTGCAGTCACGGAAGTTTTAAGTCAAAATTCACATAGCAATTGTTTTTTTTAACAGCCCTATATCGACCCACTGCTGGAGGAAGGCCCTACCTCAACACCGTGGCAGTCGTAAGAGCCGTTCACCATACTTCACCACGATGGGCAGTACGGGTTGGTGTGCGGGAGGTAGGTAGGGTAGGACCGATTCAGATTTCATTTGCCGTTGCCGGGAATGAAAATCAGCAAATTGTGACGACGGCTCGTATTGAATCGTGTGATCCACATGAATTATATACTGTGTCGGCAATTATGCTTACCATGAAGAATTCAAGTGGAGGGAATGGTGGCGCAGTGATTAGCGCATCGCGCTATGAACCTGGCCTCAGTTTGATTCCCGCCAACGGCAGAGATCAATTGTGAGTCATATCTGAACCCCCTTTAAACAACCAGCACTTACCAGCACGGTAAAGTATGCACATTACAATTACTCATGGAGCTCATGTTTAAACAGTGTGGCACTGATTGATATCATTACCTTGCCAGCAGTGAATCCGGTTAAGCGTTTGATCTTGCACCGTGTCGTGAACAGGAGGCCGCTGTCTTAACAATGAAAGTTACTTATCCTCGTCTCGAGCCCTTTCAACCGCTAAGCTAGTAGTTATCCATACTAGTCACGTAGAAGGGAAATAAAAAAATAAATAAAAATAAAACATAATAAAACGTGAGAATTTCATTTTATTATGTTTAATTTTATTTATTTTATTATTTCCCTTCTACAGGACTTTACCGAAAGAACCAAGAATATGAATCCCTGCAGTCACGAAAGCTTTAAATCGAAAAGTTATCCATACTCTTTGGTTCTTTCGGTAAAGTCACGTAGGTATAAAATAATAAATCTACGTGATTTTACCGAAAGAACCAAAGAGTAGGATTCCTGCAGTCACGAAAGCTTCAAATCTAGTGGTTATCCTTTGGATAGACTTGCTCCACCATGGCAATGTGGAGAATACACTGCTGGCACAGAGCTGTAAGACTTATATGAGCGTCGTTCTATGCTCGTTTGAACCCTAACTCACTCTGACGGTACTTAAAAGTGCACGACAAATACATTCTTGCCGCAAATAAGCAGATCACCGGGAGTGTACCCGATCTCATCACATCTCAGAGAGATACGCGGGTTTGAGCCTGGGCAGTGCTTGCATGGGCGACCAAACATGCACACACCAAGTCTGCGCATGCACTGCATCTTTGGGGCATACGTGGTTGGCAGCAGAGGGCAGCGCAGCAAAAGGCGTGGCGGTATTGCACTAATAACCTTACATGCCCATGCCCCGCGCCTTCACTGAACCTGAACTGATGAGCGCGCATGGGGACGTATCGTTAAACAGCCCCCAAGAACATCTAGCAGTGGATTGACACAATGGCTGTACGTGTAAACATTTTCTTCCCAGCCGTGTGTGGTTCACTCGTTTGTTGTACGTCATTTGATAGCTGCGGGTGGGCAAAATCCGTGGCTGAAAATATTCACCGATGCAAAGAAAGCGGGGCTGGAGACGTGGCGCACACAGACAAAAAAGTATAGCCCTGGAATTACCTCGCTCACGACACTGCTGGCGAAAAGGCCTCTGCTAAGAGGGCACTCTAGAGTCTACTCTCTTGTGTCTTCAGGGAACCACTCCAGATGCTGTTTGGCATATTCTGATTCTTCCACGCTGGCTAGCTATCAGCGACTTTCGGAAGAGGTGAGAAGTTCCCCATTTTACCATATCACACACGACCTGTCAACGGAATGTAATGTGCCCATTTAAACTGTTATGTGGACAGGAGTTTGAGGTGTTTTAAAGAAACCCGCCAGCTATTTAAAATGCCACGCGGGCAGATCAAATCGGCGACCTGTGGATTGCAACTTCAGTGTGCTAACCAATTCACCATGGCAAGCACTCCTGGGGTAACGTACAACGTTGAATATCACGTCTACTAAAGACCAACCGTGGGAGCGAGAGTAGATTCCTCGAGAGAACCCCCCCCCCCCCCCCCACACAACTTACCAGCTTGAGCTGCGAGGAGTAACGCAGTGTTTCCCTCCTTGTCCTTATGATTGACATCCAGGTAGGGGCAACCGGCTAGTGCCACGACCACATCCACGAACCCGAAGTAACAGGCCACCATGAGACCCGTCTGCTTGCAGACACGTACAGGGGTTTCCATATGGGGTTGTCAGATTTGATATTTAGACGTATATACACATACACATACTACAGTACAACGTCACATATCTGACTCGACGGCGACTGAGGTATAGGAGATTACGTAAACATTTCTGAAATGAACATCCATACAAAGTAACGGTTACATTATGAACAAATACGTTACTGGAAATAGAAAACACCAACTGATTTCAATCATGGGGACACGTATGATAGACTTTAAAAGTGTGCCAATGGACTGTACTGTATGTGAAATTAAGAATGCATTTATGTGTGACAAGGTCAGATTTGTGAACATACGTGCAAAATCACAGATACACCCTGTACTTTGTGTGTGGCCGGTTAATTGGTCTGGGAGGATATGTGATGGTCGGATATGCGACGTCGAACTGTATACAGTATAAATATCTTCATGAATAAGCCTATGCGTAGGATGTAACAACACACTGTTCACAAACTGCTATCGGTGTGTAACGCTTGGCCGGAACCGACAGGAATGGGCGATGCTTCATAGTCCCCTACAATTATCATTACAAAAATGTCCAGGTGAGAATACCAGGTGTTGTACGCTGGGGCTGCGAGGTGGGCAGGAGATGGCAGCACAGCAATTGATTGAATGGATAATTGTTATCCCGTCGTAGGCGTGGTCTTTCTCTGTTTCCACAGAATCTACTTCTACATTTGAAGCTTTCGTGACTGCAAGGATTCATATTCTTAGGTTTTTTCGGTAAAGTCACGTAGGTAAATTTTTTTAATTAAAATTAATAAAAGTAAAATAAAAAATAAAATAAAAATCACGACGTTTCGGAGGCAACACAAGCTTCCGTCTTCAGGTGGAACCGTCACAGCCACGACTGCTGCAGTCGCTGCAGTCGTGCTGTGACGGTTCCACCTGAAGACGGAAGCTACTTCCACCACGTGCCCAACAATTGTACATTCGCGCATGTACTTCATTCGCACCGTACGTAGCCAACTGTGCTGATCGGAGGTGCGAGGCAAGGACAACAAACTAAACACACACAAAGTAGTTCTAAATAAATGAGTTTTCAATTGAGATGTGAAAGTGCATAGCTCCAGTGGCTTTCAGACGGCGTTCCAGACGGCCGCATAAGCGCAGCTGAAAGCGCGCGATGCGATGGCCAGTCAAAAGCCACCGCTGCTGCGAGGATGACCGGAGTTTGCGTGATGATGGTTTATGCTCCTTGATGGTTTATGCTCCTTGATGGTTTATGCTCCTTGATGGTTTATGCTCCTTGATGGTTTATGCTCCTTGATGGTTTATGCTCCTTGATGGTTTATGCTCCTTGATGGTTTATGCTCCTTGATGGTTTATGCTCCATGATGGTTTATGCTCCTTGATGGTTTATGCTCCTTGATGGTTTATGCTCCTTGATGGTTTATGCTCCTTGATGGTTTATGCTCCTTGATGGTTTATGCTCCTTGATGGTTTATGCTCCTTGATGGTTTATGCTCCTTGATGGTTTATGCTCCTTGATGGTTTATGCTCCTTGATGGTTTATGCTCCTTGATGGTTTATGCTCCTTGATGGTTTATGCTCCTTGATGGTTTATGCTCCTTGATGGTTTATGCTCCTTGATGGTTTATGCTCCTTGATGGTTTATGCTCCTTGATGGTTTATGCTCCTTGATGGTTTATGCTCCTTGATGGTTTATGCTCCTTGATGGTTTATGCTCCTTGATGGTTTATGCTCCTTGATGGTTTATGCTCCTTGATGGTTTATGCTCCTTGATGGTTTATGCTCCTTGATGGTTTATGCTCCTTGATGGTTTATGCTCCTTGATGGTTTATGCTCCTTGATGGTTTATGCTCCTTGATGGTTTATGCTCCTTGATGGTTTATGCTCCTTGATGGTTTATGCTCCTTGATGGTTTATGCTCCTTGATGGTTTATGCTCCTTGATGGTTTATGCTCCTTGATGGTTTATGCTCCTTGATGGTTTATGCTCCTTGATGGTTTATGCTCCTTGATGGTTTATGCTCCTTGATGGTTTATGCTCCTTGATGGTTTATGCTCCTTGATGGTTTATGCTCCTTGATGGTTTATGCTCCTTGATGGTTTATGCTCCTTGATGGTTTATGCTCCTTGATGGTTTATGCTCCTTGATGGTTTATGCTCCTTGATGGTTTATGCTCCTTGATGGTTTATGCTCCTTGATGGTTTATGCTCCTTGATGGTTTATGCTCCTTGATGGTTTATGCTCCTTGATGGTTTATGCTCCTTGATGGTTTATGCTCCTTGATGGTTTATGCTCCGTGATGGTTATGCTACTTGATGGTTTATGCATCACTTGATGGTTTATGCTCCTTGAGTTATGCTCTTGATGGTTCGTCAATGAGGGTTTATGCTACCTGATGGTTTATGCTCCTTGATGGTTATGCTCCTTGTGGTTTTTTTACTTGCTCCTTGATGGTTTATGCTTCACTTGATGGTTTGATGCTCCATTGATGGTTTATGCTCCTTGATGGGTTTATGCTCCATTGATGGTTTATGATCCTTGATGGTGAGCTCCTTGCTGGTTTATGCTCCTTGATGGTTTATGCTCCTTGATGGCTATGCCTCCTTGATGGTTTATGCTCCATTGATGGTGATGTTCCGTGTGTTATGCTCCTTGATGGTTTATGCTCCTTGAGGGTTTATGCTCCTTGATGGTTTATGCTCCTTGATGGTTTATGCTCCTTGATGGTTTATGCTCCTTGATGGTTTATGGCTCCTTGATGGTTTATGCTCCTTGATGGTTTATGCTCCTTGATGGTTTATTGCTCCTTGATGGTTTTATGCTCCTTGATGGTTTATGCTCCTTGATGGTTTATGCTCCTGATGGGTTATCTCCTTGATGGTTTATGCTCCTTGATGGTTTATGCTCCTTGATGGTTTATGCTCCTTGAGGTTTATGCTCCTGGATGGTTTATGCTCCTTGATGGGTTTATGGCTCCTTGATTGGTTTATGCATCCTTGATGGTTTATGCTCCTTGATGGTTTATGCTCCTTGATGGTTTATGCTCCTTGATGGTTATGCTCCTTGATGGTTTGGTTATGCTCCTTGATGGTTTATGCTCCTTGAGGTTTATGCTCCATTGATGGTTTATGCTCCTTGATGGTTTATGCTCCTTGATGGTTATGCTCCTTGATGGTTTAGCTCCTTGATGGTTTATGCTCCTTGATGGTTATGCTCCTTGATGGTTTATGCTCCTGATGGTTTATGCTCCTTGATGGTTTATGCTCCTTGATGGTTATGCTCCTTGATGGTTTATGCTCCTTGATGGTTTATGCTCCCTTGATGGTTTATGCTCCTTGATGGTTTATGCTCCTGATGGTTATGCTCCTTGAGGTTATGCTCCTTGATGTTTATGCTCCTTGATGTTTATGCTCCTTGATGGTTTATGCTCCTTGATGGTTTATGCTCCTTGATGGTTTATGCTCCTTGATGGTTATGCTCCTTGATGGTTTATGCTCCTTGATGGTTTATGCTCCTTGATGGTTTATGCTCCTTGATGGTATGCTCCCTTGATGGTTTATGCTCCTTGATGGTTTATGCTCCTTGATGGTTTATGCTCCTTGATGGTTTATGCTCCTTGATGGTTTATGCTCCTTGATGGTTTATGCCTTGATGGTTTATGCTCCTTGATGGTTTATGCTCCTTGATGGTTTATGCTCCTTGATGGTTTATGCTCCTTGATGGTTTATGCTCCTTGATGGTTTATGCTCCTTGATGGTTTATGCTCCTTGATGGTTTATGCTCCTTGATGGTTTATGCTCCTTGATGGTTTATGCTCCTTGATGGTTTATGCTCCTTGATGGTTTATGCTCCGATGGTTTATGCTCCTTGATGGTTTATGCTCCTTGATGGTTTATGCTCCTTGATGGTTTATGCTCCTTGATGGTTTATGCTCCTTGATGGTTTATGCTCCTTGATGGTTTATGCTCCTTGATGGTTTATGCTCCTTGATGGTTTATGCTCCTTGATGGTTTATGCTCCTTGATGGTTTATGCTCCTTGATGGTTTATGCTCCTTGATGGTTTATGCTCCTTGATGGTTTATGCTCCTTGATGGTTTATGCTCCTTGATGGTTTATGCTCCTTGATGGTTTATGCTCCTTGATGGTTTATGCTCCTTGATGGTTTATGCTCCTTGATGGTTTATGCTCCTTGATGGTTTATGCTCCTTGATGGTTTATGCTCCTTGATGGTTTATGCTCCTTGATGGTTTATGCTCCTTGATGGTTTATGCTCCTTGATGGTTTATGCTCCTTGATGGTTTATGCTCCTTGATGGTTTATGCTCCTTGATGGTTTATGCTCCTTGATGGTTTATGCTCCTTGATGGTTTATGCTCCTTGATGGTTTATGCTCCTTGATGGTTTATGCTCCTTGATGGTTTATGCTCCTTGATGGTTTATGCTCCTTGATGGTTTATGCTCCTTGATGGTTTATGCTCCTTGATGGTTTATGCTCCTTGATGGTTTATGCTCCTTGATGGTTTATGCTCCTTGATGGTTTATGCTCCTTGATGGTTTATGCTCCTTGATGGTTTATGCTCCTTGATGTTATGCTCCTTGATGGTTTATGCTCCTTGATGGTTTATGCTCCTTGATGGTTTATGCTCCTTGATGGTTTATGCTCCTTGATGGTTGATGCTCCTTGATGGTTTATGCTCCTTGATGGTTTATGCTCCTTGATGGTTTATGCTCCTTGATGGTTTATGCTCCTTGATGGTTTATGCTCCTTGATGGTTTATGCTCCTTGATGGTTTATGCTCCTTGATGGTTTATGCTCCTTGATGGTTTATGCTCCTTGATGGTTTATGTTCCCAACGCAGGGCTCTCCCTCTCAAACGAATGTTGAGACTCGGTGAGGATTTCTTGAATAATGGTCGTTTATTTATTTATGTATTAGCATTGCTGTGTATAGATGTGATGCATCAGATTGTACCTATCATGATCGCGTCTCCTTCATATATCTCTGTCCACGTAAATAAAATGAAATAAAAAAGTATTTCTTCCACAAACCATCAGCCTAACGGCCGTCTGGGAGTGCATCATTTCAGCACCATTGCCAATACATGTTAGTATAAGCAAACTCTGGACCCGTTTCGTGACATAACAGACTCATCAACAGTGAGGCTTGCATCGTCAGTAGTCATTCTGCGCCTTTTGAGCCACTCTGCACTGAACAGTAAGGTACAGCCCTTTGTCAGTCCACTGCTGGACGAAGACCTCTCCCATGCCAATCCGTGTTGGTCGTAGGAGTGTTTCATTCTACTTCACTCGGCTGGTCACTAGTGTGCATTGGTGAAGAGAGAGGGGGGAGCCCAGGGCCAGTTCAGTTGTCGTGTGCGCCACTTATCTTTGCCGTGGCCGTGAATAAAACAGTGTGCTAACCACTGCGCCACCGCTCTGCCCGTTTGTTATTGCTGGATAACAACGAAGGTTCAACCAATAGTTGCTAAACCGGTAAATCGTTTCCCGATTAAAAAGTCAGGAATTCATTCGGATGAAATAGTTTAAACCGCACGGCGCGTGCGACTGCGTGATATATTTGCCTTCGATTCTCAGTTATAATCATATAGCATAGTAATACTTTCATTTTATATAGCGTAATTCATGCTAACAGCATCCCATAACGCCGCACGCTAATTATAAATAAACACCAAATCCAATATACAGCCACTACCAAGCAAATGAATACCCTACTATATCAAACAAAATAAAAAATGAACAAGCCAATTAAGAAACGGCACCAAAACAAAAAAACACAACGAAAGCGTCTAGGATGTGGCCCTTATGGACCACACAACCCAGACCACAACCAAGCCAGGAGAACTTTCACAGGAGGAGCGGTGGTGGAATGCAAAACAAAGTTACCACTAATTATTATCAATCGGTCCAGTTCACAGGTAAAGGTGCAGCCCTGAAAGTTGCTTTCTCGCGCCACTTGGTGCAGAAGGGCCTCCACTCGAGGGAGCTCTAGAGGGTATGTGTACGAGTGTCCACATTGATAGGATAGGACGTTTTGTAGGAGACGAGCTTGCTCACATGTTACCCCACCACACGCGATCTGCCGATCGACTGTGGTGGACTGATTTAAATATATAAAACAAAGACACAGATTCCCCCGTATAGCCTGAACAGACTGTTGGGGCAAGTGTTGCTAGCGATTACCTATGAAGGCCGGCATGGCAAACGAGGGGATGGGTGGCAAACACCACGCCCGGCCGCCTTTGTCTCCCCAGTGGTGATGTTTATACACCACACCAGGTCCTCATTTGAGGCCGAGTCGACATAGGGGAGGCCTAGGACCGTTTCAGATATTCGCTATCACTGGTGTTAGCCATGAGCGGGAATAGAACTCGGGTCGCCGGGTTCGTAGCGCAGCGCGCAAAGCTCTACACTACCGCTCCGAACATGTGTATGTATATACATACACACACAGCACTACTGTGTGTGGGGAAGTTAAGAAAGTTGCCCATTGTTTTAATTGTCGTGCCGGGAGATCGAATCAAACTAGCGACCTCTAGATGATCCTTATGGCGGTCGCCCCGGGGTACCAAATAATACAAAATGGCCGAGGCAATTAAATATTTTATTTCTGGGACACTATTTTTTTCCAGGGGTGTACTAAACTCCGCAACTGGGGTACCAATCAATCAGAAATCACTGCCACTCCGCGATGTCAAAACGCAGCGAGGACGATTGCGCTGAAATCCTGAACGCTCGCGTATGCACCATCGTGCATTGTGTACAGCTCGTCGAGATGAGTCGATTGCTGCATCGCCGACCATCAACAAACTAAAAATTACTGCATCACGGACATTATGCAAGAGCCGGGGTACTATGGTACCCCGGGGTACTGCCATAAGGTTCAGATCGCACACGATATGTGACGCAAACCGGTAACCGTTTATGTTACCGTGTTCACGTATGTTTGTTTTTGTTGAACTTCTTGCGCACCGTACGCACCAACCGTGCTCATAGGAGGTGCGGGAGAAGAACAACAAACAAAGCACAACAAGCAGGTCTAAACAAATACGTTTTCGATCAAGACTTAAAAGTGCATTGCTCCAGTGGCTTCCTAATATCGGCAGGCCGAGCGTTCCAGACGGCCACAGACGCGTATCTGAAAGCGCGCGGTGCGGTGACCGTCTTTGTCCGATGGCCAGCCAAACTCCATTGCGTGGATGAATCATGCAATTACCGGTAATGCAAACAACGTTCATCAACCCGTGTAAAACACATGAAATGCGTTGCCGCTTGTATAGATATGTAACGACTCCGGACTCGAAGTGGAGATCGTATGGCCGAGCAGACAGTGACAACGTGAAGACAGCGACGACGTGAAGACAGTGAAGACGGCCCGAGTCCCTCTCCACAGCCTCGAACATCCCTTCTTGCCCTGCTTTTATCCTCGTGGATTCCCTGCGGGAATTTCCCAGCTGTCTCTTTTGGACACTCTGGGGAATTTCCCAACCAAGATCCTCCAGACTTGCTGGCGCCTTGTCTTTGCATCCAACCTCGCTGACACCCTGTCTTCACATCGAGACTCACGGACACAGTCTTTACAGATATATACATTACTTAAAATCATCTGTAAATGTAGGTATACTTCGTTGGTATAGCGGTGCTCAAGCAAGAACCATTAAAGGTAAACAGTTAAGCTAAGAGTTGGGACCATTTTATGCATTATTTTGGACTTCTTTCGCACCGTACGTAACCAACCGTGCTAATTGGAGGTGTGGAGCGAGGACAACGATTGTAGGAAATTATTGGTTGACAAAAAAATTAATGCAAGTTTAAATACATAAAAATGTACATAAACTAGATTTTTTGCCCGTCCAAGGACGGGTGTATATTGCAGTAAATTTAAAATATTCAATAGAAAAATTGTTCAGCTCATGATTATTAATGAGGGGGGGGGGGGTGCCCCATGTTGAGTGACGTCACCCGCTAATGGTTATTGTGGAGGGGTGCGGCATGTGGAGTGACGTCACCCCCTCATGGTTATTGTGGAGGGGTGCTGCATGTGGAGTGCGCGACCTTCTTGCGCGTTAGTGGAAATTTTCACGCGGGCATGAATATTAACCAAGGGGGGGGGGGGGGCTCTTTTGCAGTGACGTCACGCACGGATGTAGCATTGTGCTGCGTAGACTCATTTTGTACCGTCACTTTCTGTAAAGAAACGTCATATTTGAAGCGACTTGGCGTAAGAAATTATTTAATTCAGCTCGACCTTCCTCTGCTTTCGTGTAAAAATCCACCCACTCATGAATATTAATGATGGGGGGGTGGGCCTAATGTAGAGTGACGTCACGCGCGGGACGGACAGACATTTCTGGGTGATTATAGTAGGTAATAATGCGATGATTGGATGCTGTAGCGTAACTCGCGTGGGGGCATGGGGTGCCTTGTCCCCCTCGTGGCCAAATTTACGAGCTTAGGCCTCCTTGACAACTACTATGAGATATATTTTCAACAAAAATGTAAAACAACAAAAACGTACGTATTGATGTGGCAAGAGGAGCCACGATATATAGCCGAGGTGCGACCGTGCGAGACAAATCAAATATTGGGGCCTCACATGACCTATTACCGCACCCCATGAGCTAATAATGTAGTAGTTAGGCCACTAATTGGATGAAGAGAGCAATCAACTTAGTTACAATTGCGATGATAGAAACGGCGAGTGGATAAAGATCAGCCGTCGCCAGACGACAACACGAACAATGTGGAGAACGCACGAGTCATGCATCGCGACTGGCATCAGCGGGACAAACTCTTCTTCTGTGACCTACTGCTTTCGGATGTGTTCTCGGGCTGGGACGAATTTTGCTCGGCATGGTGATGAGGGCTTCTTCGGCAACGTAATTCGTTTGGAGCTCAACAACACCCCCGGTCATCGTGCCCAACAGCACGCGCCGATATAACTCGAAAACACATCCGGATAGTTTTAGAGCACAAGCTTATACGCAGTAATACAGCTGGACGATTATTATTATTATAATCGTGTTACAAATTATTAGAACATCTGATAGGACGAGTTTCCAGATTTGTGATGTTTCTTTGCTATAACAGCCAAATGGCGATATTACTGGTAACATGTATTTAGTTTAAATAATATTTTATATTTAGTGCATTAGGTTGAGAGTTTGTTAATGAGAATGTTGGAAGAGGGTGATCAACCTTTGTTTCTCCAGCACTGCTGCAACCTGGTCTCCGAAGTCGTATTCACAGCACGAGTGTGACGTTTCATTTGATTGAAATTTAATAATCACCTTGACTCTGAGCTTCTCGGCTCCATCATCCAACACAGGCACACGAATACTCACCCTCGCACAGACGCTAAAAAAAGTCAGGAAAATCACTTGAAACGATTCACGCTGTTCAGGAACACGTCGACATTCATGCAAACTCGCCTGAATTTCGGACAGTCACCAATGCTGGATTAATTTAGGAATTCTCAATCAATGATTTTGCACTCTCCCGAAACAGCCTGAAGCAGTTGAAGTGATTTGACATGAATCAGTTGGCGGTACGCGTGCGTAAGATTACGCACACGCGCTACCATACGGCGCATCCAGCCACACGGCGTTACCCGTCCGTTGTTGTCCATCTCTGTGACTTCCTCCAGGGTGGGGCTTCTTCGCAGATGGAAACGCACCATGGGGCCGTTGTTCTTTGCGCACGCCTGGAAGAGCGAGACAGTCCCAGCGCAGGGAGTGTCGTCCTCTTCGTCGCCGCAACCCCCTTCATCGATATCCGACATGGGCGGCAGGACAGAGTCATCAGAGAGCACGCTCATGCTGTCGGAAAACTCCGACTCGTCCGAACTCCACCGCTCGTCCTCATCGTCGTCCTCCTCGTCCTCCTCCTCCTCCTCATTATCCCCACTGCCAGTGCCACCGCCGGCGTCTTTAACGTCGCCAGCGCCGCTCCCCGCGCCCTCGCGGCTCAGCTCCGCGTCCGATTTCTCCATCGCCGCTCTGGCGGTCATCGCTCGGTCCTCGATGGGTGCTCGGCGGCCCATGCGCGTCGCGATGGCTCTGCTCGACCGGGCATGCAGGGTGACAGCATCACGACAGCTCCGGGCCCCGTCCCCTCACTCGCCCAGAGCTTGTTTTAGTGTCGGTAGCCGCTGTCCTCCTCCTCCCTCCACAAGCGGCTGTCCGGTGGGGACCGCCACGGGGTGACCCACGATTGTGTCCGCCAGTGCGAACTTGGCAAGGCGATCGGTCGGCGCTCGGCGCGCAAAGGGTCAACGTGGCTTGGAGGAGGAGTGCGAGGCACACACCTGTGCGTAGGTCAGACAGTGCGCTGCCGAGATGTGCGCTCCGGTGACATTAAGGCGATTTTCGCGTTCCCCCGAGGGACGGATTGTTGCCTGCTTGGTCGGATTTATTCCCCTGCGAGTCGATGCGGTGGGAGTTAAAGGGCTGGGGCGGGGGGGCTGCGTTGGCCGACTTGGGTTTAAACCAGGTGGAGGCGAGCCACGCGACTAGTTTACGGAGGTGGCAGCTGCTTCCAGAGCCGTTACCCAGCCTCGCAGGAGACCGCCTGTGCCTTCCAAGTCTGCTGCTTGGCCAATATCACCGCGAAATCGGATCACGCTTGCTTGCAGCAGATTTGCAGCGGATTACTCGAAAAGGCATGTGTGTGCTGCTTGGAATTAAGAAGGCCATTTACGATTGGCGTCGCGTTGAAATGTTCAGACGACCTCGCAGCCATGTCAAGACGACTTCGGATCATGCCGTTAAGTCGCTTTGCTGTCCCTGGCACGTGTGTGTGTGTGGTGTGTGCGTGCGTCGGTGCGTGAACGAGGCTGTTGTTGTTGTACCACATTCGCCGAGTGGGCAATGCGGCGCAGGGAGAATTTGGCGACTGGGGGGGCGATGTTCAACTCATCGTGGCATCAGATATCGGATTTCGTCTGTGCGTCACAGGCGGTGCGGTCCCACTGAGTGCCTCGTTATCGGTCGATTAGAGCACAAAAGCGCTCGATTTTGGCACCGCGCAGCACTGCGCACTCGTGTATCTGGAATGCTGATGTCTGGATGTGTGTGAGGTTGTGAGTGCTGACTGTGTACTCTATATCTGCGTGTGGTTTGGGATGTGTGTGTACTCTGTATATGAGTGTGGTTGTGGGTGCCGAGTGTGTACTGTATCCGTTATGCAACGTTCGTTTTTCCCTCTCGAATCACGTTAATCCTCTTCAAGTGCATCAGACTGATAACAATCCCCAGCATGAATGGCACCGCCATCTGGGAACAACACAGACGCAGACAGACAAGCAGCAATGACAACCATCGCGAGTTTAGCATCTTTGGCTAACTCTTGGAGCAAGTACTGTGGATATATATACAACACGCGCCGGGGAATTGATTTGTCAACTGTCACGCCCGGCCCTCATATGCTTCCCGAGTGCTGTTGTTGTCACACACCGACGTAGCAACTCTTTATAACAGGCTCAGTTGACCTGTAATCCTACGCGGAAACCAGGTTATGTTTACATCCACGACCATAAATTAACCGTTAACCCTTAACCGAATCGTCAGCCTCTCCCCCCCAACTCGTGGCTCTCTCTCCCTGCTGCTGCACGGTCTTTGCCAGGTGTTGTCGTGCCGCCTTATCTCGTTATCACCTTTGTCATACAACTCACATTGGGTCGGTCTCTTCGTAGTTTTCCTTCGTAATAATAATAATGTAATTTACCTATCCACGACAGACCGAATCTCAAGAAAACATTTGGAGGAAACTTTTTTAGCAGGGTCTTGCATTTGTAGTTTTTTTTTAAACCTATATCTCATGTCCACATCAAAGATGTTTTGTTAAATAGGTTAATTATATTTCCCGGATCACATATGATGCGTAAATTCATAGTAAATCGTAAGCTCATGATACATGCATAAAATTACGTACATGAGAATCGATTACTGTATTTACAAGGTATGATAATTATACATATAATTATTACGTTTAGGACTTTTGGCTAAACGGCTCTATTAAAATGCACATTAAGCATCTAAAGTTTTATATTGTTGAACCAAGCGAGAACGCAAGAAACTAGGACAGTCTTATTTGCACGAGCGATATTTCTATAGGTGCGTTCACAGATGATTTTTGATTCGCATATGTTGATTGTGGTAGGTCCCGTGACCTCCCCAGTCACGAAAGAGTGTTTGCTGCATTTCTCAATTTTAAGAGGTTAACTTTTAGAATCACCACATCGATTAATGAATCGGTGAAGAATGACGTTGCATTGAATTGTCAGAAGGACTGGTACCGTTAGGGGCCGTCCATAAATGACGTCACGCGATTTTGGACAATTTTTGACCCCCCCCCATCGTCACACGGCGTCACAAAAAGTCAGACCCCCTCAAATATGACGTCACAAAGGTCTGCCTCCCCCCCTCAAAATAAAGCATGCTTCAAATCGCTTTAAACTATTGTCATTGTAGTGCGTATTTAATGTGGCGCTGCACTCTGATGCTGTATGAGAAAACATTTATAAAAAAGTCTATTCAATTAAGTAGAACGTGTTGTCTATATTTATTTAAAGTTGCGCATTTTGATGTGACGTCACATTTCTCAACCCCCCCCCCCCCACCTCATCACACATCGTCACAAATGTCTGACCCCCCCCCCCTAGGTGCGTGACGTCATTTATGGACGGCCCCTTACACCCCTGACTTATCGTATGATCGAGCGTGTAAAACAGAACCCTTGACCGATGAGCGGTTCGCGGTTAGATGCAAGAATCGATTACTAATTAAACAACGAAATGTATTTTAGCGCCTCTCGTGGCTGCAGTGGTTAAGTTTAAACATGTTTTTTTTTGCAGGAGGTGAGAGATCACGAGACCAGGATGCGTCTCAATTGCAAATGTGACCTGAGGCATCAAAATGGAAAAGAAAAAGAAAATAAAGTGCAGCAATGAAGCAAATATAAATTAGAATAAAAAAGCAACAAGTATGCAATGGGTTCGCATTAATCTATTTCACATTACAAATACAAAATAATGAAAATTCACGCACACTTATGCATGCACCGTGCGTGTGTGTGAAATTGAAAATGCATCATTCTGAGCATTGTGATACGGGTGTAAACAAAATTGATGATTGCGTATTCCGCTGCCACGTGTTAGGTTACTCGTCGATTGATATTAGAATACACAAATACAATCTGGATAAAAGAGCAATAATAGTCACGGAGTTCAGTCATCGTCGCCAGTCGTGCTCTATCAACTGCTGGATTAAGGCTTTCCCAAGTTGTCGCCATCCCTATGATTAGCACGCATGGCTATGTACGATGGAAAACACATTCCTGCGGAGGGAGCTGATAGGAACGTTGGGTTGCTCGGTCAATGGCCAGGGTCAACGGCGGCGTGGTGTATTCCGCAAATATGGCCGACTGTGAGGGCGGGCACAAGCCGGCGTGAGTAAGTTGAACGTTGAGTTTTATAAGGGCACCACGTGGTGACCAGCCCCTCCCCACCCAGCCCCACCCCTCCCACCCCCCACCCAGCCCCACCCTCCCCACCCTCCCCACCAGCCCCTCCCCACCCAGCCCCTCCCCATCCAGCCCCTTCCCACCCTCCCCACCCAGCCCCTCCTCACCCTCCCCTCTCCACCCAGCCCCACCCCTCCCATTTTTGGATGCACGGCGGACGGACGGACGGACACAATAAACCCCTGTGGGCTGATGTAACCAGGAGGTTCCTACCAGTGAGAAGTTCAACATACCTCCCTCACGGTTTGTCTGAATGTGGATAAAAAACGAGTTTATGATCATCGGGTCTCATCACCAGCTGGTAGAGGCACGTCAGTGGAATGATCGATGTTCACAGCATATGCACATGAAGTCACGAATTCTAGATTTGAAGCTTTCGTGACTACAAGGATTCATATTCTTAGGGTTTTTCGGTAAACGTCGTGATTTTTTACTTTGTTTTATTTTACTTTTATTAATTTAATTTTTTTACCTACGTGACTTTACCGAAAAAACCTAAGAATATGAAGTCACGAGTTCAGGTCGCTTTTACGGAACATTGGCCTGTCACGTTCCATCATCTCAGTCGCCGACGCGGAGAAATTGTTTCATACTTTTATTTTCTCACGCATGGACTATACTGCAACGCTTTGCTATCTGGAGCCTCCAGTAATGTACTTTGTCCACTTCAGTCTGTTCAAAATACAGCTACTCGGGTTCTGACCCGAAGTCATCGTACAAGACATATCATCCCCTCTTCTTCCATTGAATTCAAGGTCCTCCTTCTTACATTCAATGCCCTGAATGATCTCGCACCTCCGCATATTCGGCAGTTGGTGCTGCGCTGCTAAGTTTCAACAACAACTCTGAGGTTAGCAGATTTAGATCTCCACTGCATCCCCAGAACGAAGCACAAGTCTATGGGCAGCGATCTCTGGGGCTTCGCTTTAGTGGAACCCGGACTGTGGATCTCTCTGCCGAATGCTGTCAGGGAGTCCGGTTCAAATGGAATCTTCAAATGATTCCACCTAAAACATTTCTATCTCAGAAGGCGTTTTCTATCTAAACTCAGCCACTTCTTACTCATTGTCATTGATGTAAATCGCCTTCAATTATTTTTTTTATAAAAGGCGCTATATAAGCTTTAACCATTATTATTAATCTGAGGGGTGATTAAAATGCAACAAAGGGATTTGAATATGAATCCTGATTTTTTTCAATAATATGACATTGTTTTGAAAACTTCAGTAGTTTCATCTGTCATGTCCATATCAAAAATGTTCTTAAAATCAATTAGCAATGAACTTAAAATCTGAGTTCAGGCACTCCAGTACAGTACTAATTAACGGTTAATAACGCGTCTGGAAACAATTAAGCTCGGTTTGATTTCCAATCTGCATGAATGCGGTCGACGAATCAAATACAAGGGGGAGCGGTGGCGCATTGGATTGTGCAATGCACTCAGAATGCAAAATATCTGAATTCGATTCCTGCCTATAACTTAGATGAGTGGCCAGATATATCTGCATCGTTCTGGCCCATCCTTACCATGAATCAACCCGCCCTGACAAGCGTGATGAAGTATGTTCAAACAACCCCTACGACCGATACGTGACTGCCAGCAATTTAATTGACGAAACGTAAACGAGTTGCAGGGCCATTCGATTCTCACAGCTGTGAACAAAAACACAACACATTCGTCAATAACACTGCCCCTAAAGAGGTAACGTGCACAGTAGGCGACGTTTATGGAATTTGCTCCTGCTACTATGGAGATGGGCCATTGCCCAAACGTCGCGTGTTATATTATATATTGTTTTAACCTTCGGGCAGCGTTGTCGTACGTATGTGTGTATGTTGAACCTCTTTCGCAGCCTACGAGGTGAACCATGCTCATCCGAGGTACGGGGGGAGGACAACAAAACTGAATACAAAAAAGCAATTTTAAAGAAACGAGTTTTCAATATTGATTTAAAAGTGCAAATTTATACTGGCGTCCTAATATCGGAAGGAAGAGCGTTCCAAACGGACGCAGAAACGCATCCGAAAGCGCGCGATTCAGTGGCCGTCTTTGTTCGATGGCCAGTCAAAAGCCGCTGCGAGGATGACCGGGGATTGCGTGATGGTTTATGTTCCCTGGCGAGATCAGCAAGGTATTGCGGTTCATTTGTGGTGAGCACTTTCTGTGTAATGAGTGCGACAATGTCGACGAATGCATTGAGTTTTGTTTTTGTTACAGGCATTTTCACTTATGCATCATAGCTAACGTAGCATCGCAATATATATTTTGTTCATTTTCCTAAAAATAAATTTTTGGAAATACATTTCAAGGCAGTGCAAAAAAAAACCACACTTTTATGTTCGTTCCCTTCGCTCGTACAATTTGGGGTGAATCCCTGCGCCAAGCCAGGGCAAAGCGGATTGCGTCCATCCCTTCAAATTTGCTTCACATTAAATCCGCAGCTGATGGCCAGAAATAGCAACGGACGGCTCAGTTTGCTTAATGAGTGACGACTTATTTCCGGCACTTACAGAATCACTTTAGGCCAGCAGGGCAGGCTGAGTAAATAATTAGCGCAGCAAAGCATGCAGTCGTAATAATAGCAACGATAATAATTACACCATCGTACAAAACAGGAATCGATTCAATCGTTTTTTTACAACGTTAACATTTGTTCATTTGCGTTGATTGGTCACTTGTGCATTTTTCATTGAGATGGCATGGAGGCATTGGATTAACCACGAGGCTGTCATCGTGGCAAACATTCGACTT